CTCCATAACTAAATTTACGCTCCGACCAGCAGATGTCATCTTCCAAAGCGTAGAGAAAAGAAGGTTAAGATTGGCTACAACCTAACTGCCTAGCCACCAAATTAGGTTGATAGCCAGAAAATCCATAACTAGTAGCATCAAGTCTCGACGATAAGATTGTATGGGTGAGAAAATTGGCCCGAACCGTGTTCGACGTAGCAGCAGTCGAAGGAGAGGAGCCAAGAAACTTGTTCTTCAACCATGCTGAGCCAACTTAGCAATCCACAAAAGATGCCATGGTCACGTTAAAAAAATTTAGTGCCAAGGAAGAGCTCGATGTACTTAACAAGAACATTTGAGGTATGAGTTTCGTCAAGAGTAAGTAAAGCCAGTCTCGTGCCTTTGATGGCTCTTTGCTCAGTCGCCCTCATCAAGGCTAGAGAATCAGTGACATGGAGTCGAGGTTTGAAAGTGGCATTCAACCACAACTGTAAAAGCCAAAAGGATCCAAATAGGGGAAGAGACTTAATTTTAGTGTTCTCAGGTAGATGTTTGATTTTCTTGGAGGCTTATCCAAGATATTGGTAGACATTATCCAAGAGAAACTTCCTGAAGGAAAACTTGCATCCTGCATGAAGTTTGATGTCCAAGGGGACGAACTTCTTTGCCACCTGTAAGGAACTAGAGCATAAGACATAATAGGAGAGCCAAAACGCTAAAAAGGTGATGTGTTTTTGGTCAGAGACATTTGGTCTAACAGTGTCGTGGTGATTTTGGATGAATTTTTTTTAGGTGGGGCGCCCAATGGTGAACTCATGTGGAGTTTCTAATGTCGGGAAAAGAGTGGCACCGACAGGATTCAAACTTGTGATGGAAGCAATTTCGAATAGCGTCGGCGTCAACATTCCACAAGAGAATTGAAAAGTGTTCGTTGAACCCTCCCAAAAGAAAAGTGAGGCCAGTAGCATGCAAGGATTTCTCTTGGGGCCAGTTCTAAACAAATTGACCATGTCATAGATGATTATGCTTTCCTAGTGTGTTTTCTTCTTGGCTTGGACCTTGTTGAGCCACGCCAGGTATTCTTTTGTGGGAGTCGGTGGATCAAATCGAAAGACACGATTAGGCTTGACCATAAAGGACAGATCAAGAGCCCGTCGTTCAAACGCAGTAGGCATGGTGCGTAGGTAACCTAGAAAAAGGTAAGAAACCTTTGAAGCTTGTGACTGATTAGTAGGATACGACCCAGAAAAGGCGTAAAGATAGTTATTCATGAAGTAGAGGATTAACATTTGTTTCTGCCAGATGGAAATTTTATTGTTATCAAAGGAAGGTTTAAGAATGAAATCCTTCACCTATTCGCTTTCAGAAGGAGGAATGACGAAGTCCACCAGATTGTTACCAGTAGAGAGTTTGAAGTAAACCTTGCTCTTAGTCATGGTGAAAGAATGCAAGAAGACGAAGTAGAGAAAAGAAAGTGAAGAGCTGAGGAGAACTATTTATAGCTATCAGTATGTGTCTCAAATCCTACACCTAGCAACAGCGTGAGAGTGATTGAAGAGATTGTGTGGGGTCCTGATGCAAGCATTAATAAAGAGCAGAAGTAGTTACTGTAAAACATGAAAACCCATGTCTTCCTAGGAAGTAGGAATGATGAGTGATGATGTACGTATGCATTCCACCATTCAAAACATGACCTTTTGGGGGGAAACTTGTTACACAGGATTTTTCAACTTAACTATAAATGACAAGTATTCAATGAGACCATCCATGAATGTGCCAGTGGAGATTAAAATACCATGAGTCAAACTTGATCATAATGAATCAATGTCGAGAATCACGTAAGGGGATACCGGTCGAAGGTGACGTAGTCGAAAGGCACAACGAAAAGCATGGGGACTTAGTGAAATTGAGTACTATGTTATGTTAGCCATTTAGTGAAATTGAATATTATGCCATGTTATCTAAGGTTGGAGTCCACCATTGCAGTTGAATACTATGCCATGTTGGCTAAGGTTGGAGTCCACCATTACAGTTGAATATTATGACATGTTCGCTAAGGTTGGAGTTCATCATTATAATGGAAGTAATGATAACTTAGTCACCACATGTGGAGTATATCACTATAATGGAAAATATGATGAAACATGTTACTTTAATATGAGGATATTTGGTTCTTAGCGCTAATAAAACAGTTAAAAAGTTTAAATAATACCACAAGGCGGGAATTACTATATCAGCGTCGATGGTTACATATAGAACGTGAGGCACGTCGGGGAGAACTGCTACACAATCTGAAAATGTGTCATCACGGGAGTAGCTTACAATGCTTAGGCAGTTATCTTAGTATTTTATATATAGGTACTGTTGAATGCCAACTATGCTTTAAATTGATCCATATTTATTGGCATTTTTCATTTCAATTGTTATATCTTGTTAGATTTACTCCATGTTTTTATGCTAATCTTCATTATTGTTGAAAATACCTTTGGTTTCTTTATTTGTATGTTATTATGCAGGAATTAGCCATAAAACATCAAAGTGTAAGACACAAGTAGTTGAACAAGGAAGCCAAAAGAAAAGAAGAGATTCAGCATGTTCACTGGGCGAACAACCAACTAGGAGTAGCAGTGAATGTTCGCTAGGAGAGCTCATGACGAAGCCCCAGTAAACCATCTTAGAATGTTGGCAGTAAGAAAATGGCACTAAGTTCGCTGGGCGAATTGGTAGTGAACATTCGTTGGGCGAGTTTGTAGCGAAGGACCGACGAACAATCCCAGATTTGAGGCAGTAGCTAAAGGGTCATAAGTTCGTTGTGCAAACTTATAGCAAAGTAGTTCTCAAGACGAAGAATTTCTCGCACGACGAACTTCAAATATTACTCAAAGGCTGCTTAACTGTTCAGAGGCACTTCATGTGCCATTAAGTGGTGTTCGCCGGACGAAGAAGGAGTTTGTTGGGCGAACTTGACAGATTCTGAAAGTACTATATATGTACTTTTCATTTTCTGGGGATCATAACCTAGAAAACCCATTTTTCACACAAAAACTTCATTTTTCAGCATTTCTTCACCAAAAGGTGATATTTTGTAAATAAAAGATGGATTCGCATCCGAGTTCGATTCTTAGAGATGAATGCTCATTCATCTTCTTCCAAGACTTGTAAAGCAAGCCACCATGGTTATGGGTAGCTAAATCCTTTTGTATCAAAGGTAGAGGTAGTCTACATTAGCTTATATGTATTTCTTAATGATCCATTATTGTTTTGTAAAACTCTAGCATAGATTTTGTGAAACTTGGCCTAAAACACTCATCTATCGATTTATAGATTGGAGAGATCGGTCTATGGTTAATAGTTGCTTTGTATTGAACTTAAAACTTACTATATTGGTTGTTATATGGAGAAATCATGTAGCGATGAATACGGTATTTCTCACGACGCCGCTCTAGAGATAGACGGTGTTGAGAGAATACGCGACGATATTAATCAAATTCGACTTCACATACAAGATAGAAAGAATACGTATAAGTTAGGGTAGATGAAAACTACTTTTGATATACTTTGTTAATCAAACAACTTTTAATTTATAAACTTTGCTACTAAAAACGTGACAATTTATGAACAAAACTTTAAAAACCCTTTATCTTGAAACAATAAATTGTTGAAAGACAAACATCAAGATATCTACAATCCCTGTGGAGACGGTAACAAAAATCCACCTATAATACAGTTCGAACAAGTACTTAGTTTCATTTTGTAAGGGGTCCGCAAATTGTACACGTTTTCTAAAACACTCAAAGTACCTGCGCTGAGAGAAACGAGTGAAAGAAAGATGTACGTATGCATTTCACTGTTTTATACAAATTCAACAATTTTATCTTAAGAGTCTTCTTTTATGCATTTAACCTTTTTCAGCTTCCTGTACTTTTCACGTAAAGTACACGCAACTTTACGTTTTCTTACACTTTACTTTCAAGTCTCTCTTCTAACTTTAAATTTTCTTTTACCTTGGATCATTCTTTTCAAAAGATCACAAACATTTTCATATACTTATCCGAGTTTATGTTAACTTCGACAAGTCTTAGGATTTACACGAGTAATGAACAAACAAACATGTCTAGAAGATTTTTGAGTTTGATCTCTTAAATATTAGTATAAATTTGTATTTGTTTATCAAATTTCATCGTAAACAAGACGTCGATCCCTTTTCTTCACTTTTCAAATACTCTCTCCGCACTTCTCTATCACCTATGTCTTCTAGCAAATTGTTGACGCAGTAGGTTGTTTTTTTGTTATTATCTGTATTATCTCGATCTATCGTGTTTCTTCTCATTCTTCTTGACCTCACTAAAGTCCATTTACCTATCTTTCTTTGTCCTCTCTCATTTTTTTATGGTTCTGGTCAAAGTTGTTAGTTAGTCAACTTTGTAGAGTAACAATACTCAACTCAAATTTAAAGAATAAACAAGTCTCATTAAAGGTTTTGAAGAATACTCAATTTCGTAGTTACTTACCTTTTCAAATGATATATCCTCAAGGTTTTTAAGAATAAACAAGTCTCGTTAAACCGTGTGTTACACTAAAATTAAATGGATAGGAATTCATATAAATGTCAACAAACTAATCAAAGAGATTGGCCAGTGTGGGTTGCAAACATCTAGAGTTAGAAAATATATTTCGACATGGATGAAGAGAAGCGTGGTCCAATACTTACTGGAAACACAAACTATTATGATTTCGACAATTACTATATGAGCGATACCCACATGACCTTCTTAAATTTTCTCTTCTTTTGATTCTACCTACTTTTCTGATATAGTCCTAAACTTATTAAAGTCTTTCCATGCATTCTCGACACTTGACAACTCTTTATTACCTTCCCTTGCTATCTTTTATTACTCTCAACTGTCCACTATACTGATTTCACTATTATATAACGCACCCTTTTGCATGCAATCTACAGCAATATCATATCAAGTTTTTCCTACTGAAAAACCGAGACAAAGAGTTGAAAGGTAAGTAAGATGGCGAAGTGGAGTACCATCATTGTGTTTGTTGTATTTCTTGTAGTGCATGCAAGTGCAGCACGTACGGTTCCAAATGGTGGTGATGAGCAAAAAATGGGTGTGGTGCATGCAAATGTTGCACAACATGCAGAGAATTCAACTGGTAAGGGTGTTGATGAAAAGAAGAACTTCTTGGGTGGTGGGGTTGGTGGATTTGTGGGTGGTGTTGCAGGGGTTGGTGGGTTTGTTGGTGGAATCGGGAAAGCTGGTGCAATAGGTGGTGGAATTGGAGGTGGAATTGGAAAAGTTGGTGCGATTGGTGGTGGAATAGGTGGGATAGGCGGTGGAATCGGAAAGGTTGGTGGGATTGGTGGTGGAATTGGAGGTGGGATTGGAAAGGCTGGTGGAATTGGAGGTGGGATAGGTGGTGGAATAGGAAAAGTTGGTGGAATTGGTGGTGGAGCTGGAATTGGTGGTTTCCATGGTGTTGGTGCCGGAGCTGGAATTGGTGGCTTCCATGGTGTTGGTGCGGGAGCTGGAATTGGTGGTTTCCATGGTATTGGTGGTGGCATTGGAAAAGCTGGCGGGCTTGGTGGCGGCATTGGGAAAGTTGGCGGGATTGGTGGTGGAGCTGGAATTGGTGCCTTCCATGGGGTTGGTGGTGGAGCTGGGATTCTCGGTGGTGGACACCATGGCATTGGTGGTGGAGTTGGTGGGTTAGGTGGTGCTGGAGGTGGTGGGTTAGGTGGTGCTGGAGGTGGTGCCGGAGGTTTGGGTGGGACTGGAGGAGCGGGAAGCTTAGGTGGCGGTCCTGGAGGCTTGAGTGGTGGTACTGGTATCGGAAGTTTGGGTGAGCCTGGAGGAATTGTAGGTTTAGGTGCACCCGGAGGAGATGGAAGCCAAGGTGGGACTGGCGGCCCCGGAGGCTTAGGTGGTGGAAGTGGTGGCTTAGGTGGTGGTTCTAGCAGTTTGGGTTCGGGTGATGGGCCTGGAGGAGATGGAGGCTTAGGTGGTGGTAGCGGTGGTTTGGGTGGTGGTGCTAGTCCTTAATAAGACTTGTTATTATTTTGATGCTTTGCATGCATGTTGTTGTTTTTAATTTATTGTGCTGCCAATTCAATATTGCTTTTAGGTTAGATAGTCTTAGGTTTCTTTTGACAATATTTAAGATTCCAGCCTCGTATGTTGTTTGTCTTGTCGGGTCAATTTAGAGTTTGAAGTTTTTTTTGTCAACCATGCATCGATGATGATGATGATGATCAGTTTAATGTTATTCCTTGTTTGTAAGCAAAAGCTCTTTTTGGAGCTATCTTTTGAAGTTCATATTGGACTATGTAATTGGCAGCCTTAATTAAAACTACATTTTATTTATTCGCCATTGTATATTTAATGCATATTTTTGCAATTCAATTTTTAAAATGATTATTTATTGTGGTTGTTTGAGCTATTTTTATGGCCTAAATTGTAACATCTAAGCATTTTTTAATATATATTTTAATGATGATTTTAATATAAATTGTAAAATGATTCATTTGTGAAGAATCAATTATATATTTAAAATATTATCACTTCAATTTATATATCGTATTAATTAATCTTTTATCAACTATAATTTTTAATTACTATTATATCAAGTAACCACAAGTCACTTTTCATTTTAAAACAAATGTTATTTAAAGTTCTTGCATATTTTTAAAATAAAATCAAATTGTTAAAATTATGAGATTTTCACTAAACTAATCTAAAAAATTATTTGTGTGACAGTCACAAAATCAATTGGTAATATAATAATTTGAAATTAAAGTATATTACTATTAATCAGAGTATACAACTGAAAAAATAAAATAAAATTCATATTCTAACAAATTTTATTGAATAAAATAACATTCATCATGAAATAGAGAAAGTATTATATTTTTAATAAAAACTAGTAATTTAATAAAATCACCATTGACCGTTTTTAATCTTTTGAATTCATTAAAAGCACAGATATTGCGAGAGAGATGAAGGATACTTTTTCCTTGGGAGTAAATGAATTTTGAAGTTCCGTTTTGCATGGCTGCCATTTGTAAGTGTAGGTTGACTTGTCTGCGACGAGACGTACTGACAGTGCACTACCTGCTAATTCAAAGCCATATTAACTCACATCACACGCGTAGTTATTACTCCATATTCAAATATGCGATACAGTTTTATTTATCTCAATTTAAACAAATTTATTTATTTATTGTGATTTCTGTATGTTGTTCTTATAGAAAATTAGAATGTTTGATCAAACGGTGAGATGAAATTTTGGAGCATTAGAATACATTTTTATACCGTGATAAAGAGGTTGACTTATAAACTTAACATTCTAACATTTAAGTTAATGAAAAAATGAGAAATAATGTGAGTTGAAATAAAATGGAATACTCGAAATGACATGTTTTATCCTTATATATTAAGAGCGGTTGAAACCGTTGACGTGTGTGCGGTGTGTTGTTTGGACAAATGTCTGATAGAATTAAAGGGTGATTGATGCGCTGAAGTGGATAGTTGCTACTTCTAGCCAAGCGAAGGTTTACCTATTATGCGCTTCTTTAACTCGAGGTGTGCTCTTAGTAGGTGTGGTAAAATAGATCGTGGCTCGTCGGGCCGGTTTGCCCACCCGTCAAAAAATGGCGGATTGGGTTGGAATCTTATGCCCGTAACCCACCAAAGCCTACCCCGTTAAAGACTAGCACCCGCCAAAATCCGTCCTGCTAAAACCCGCCGCCCATGAAAACTCACAGCACCTACTCTTTCAACTTGTCACACCTTAAACCCGTCCTTTTATAGTTAATTCTAGTAATTCCTGTAAGTTTATGCGCGGTCTCTAAGAGGGGGATGAATTAAATTTATTGGAATTTTCTTAATTTGAAGTGTTAGCACTGGTTTTGTTATTTTTCAGAAATGATATGAAAGTAAATATGCTGAAAAATAAATGCAGAAAGTAAAGAACACAACAATATATCCTAGTTCCCCTCACAATCCGAGAGTACTCCAGTCCCCTCACTCCCAGTGAGAGATTTTCCACTCTGTCAGATTGACTCTTCTTTTCTTATATCATTGTCACCTTTGGTTGTCATTCTCTAGTTAAAGACCTAAGAACTTTTTAAGATTTAATTCATCGTTAGTAAAAGTCTTACCGAGAACAATCAGGTGATTAGTTAAGTGAACAAATCTCTATTGTAGATCAAGAATTGATTTTCTGGTCTGCATTCTGAATATTTCATACTCTTGACATAATATATACAATCTTGATCTTTTTGCTTTAGCAATTCCTTCATGAGTTACTATAACGTATCCCATATTTTCTTCATCGTTGTGCATTGAGAAATTCGAAAGAATTCATCCATGCTAAGTACACTTTGAAGTATGTTGATTGCTTTCTTGTCGTAGAGTACCTTCTTCTTATCATCTTCATTCCATGAATTTTTAATTTTTGTTGTCCTAACACCATCGACAATACTAGTAGGAACAAATGGACCATTTTGTACAACATCCCATATATCTTCTCATTGTACTTCTAGATGTGTCTTCATACAAAATTTTCCAAAACCAAAGTATTCACCACAAAAAAATGGAGGTTTATTATTACTTCCACCATCTCTGAACACCGAGTTTGCGGAAGTCATTATGGACCACAAGAGCAAACTACTCGAACCTGCTCTGATACCAATTGTAAGTTTGTGCGTGGTCTCTAAGAGGGGGGGGGGGGGGGGTGAATTAGATTTGTTGGAATTTTCTCAATTTTCTCAATTTTAAATGCAGAAAGTAAAGGACATAACAATATATCTTGGTTCCCCTCACAATCCGAGAGTACTTCAGTCCCCACACTTCTCGTGAGAGATTTTTAACTATGTCAGATCTTTGTACAAGCCTTCCATTAAGACCTATCCTACAATCTTCTAACATAAGCAACACAATCAATAAGGACAATCCCCTTATGATCTTTACAAAATGCAACAAGAGAACAATCCTCCCTTATTGAATCTCTTGCTTCCAACAATCCTGGACAGTAAGAAAATCACAACAATATGAATTTTTACAAGTGTTTGAAGTTGTATAAGAATGTATATCAATTCCTAGAATTGATCTTCTCTATGAAGTATGTCATTCTTAATATGTAGTACAAGTGCTTAATGATTTATGTAGTTGAAACTATTTGAAAATGTAATGAAATTGATGTGCAAGAGTTTTGATAAAAAGTTAGGTCAAGAACACTTGATTTTAAAAATGAGAGAATATAAGTTTTAAATTACTATGAAAGAGAGATGAGTTTGAATTCTGATGATTATGGTTTATATAGAGCTTTAACACTTGTCTAAAAGTGTACAAATACATGAAAATATGTCTGGTTCAAAAAGGCTTTTAAAATTTTGTTTGCATCAGAATTTTCATGAAAAAAGGCCACTAGTTCAGTGTTAATCGGTTAACCTATAATGGCTAATAGATTACACGTGTTCCTTTTTAAAAAAATTAAAGCAATTTTACATTTTGACGAAATTGTGAAATTGCGGCGGTTTTTAAATGCTACGGCGGTTTGAAATGCCATAATTTAACATAATCAGAATAGTTAATTTAAAAATAAGTTTAAAAGATGCATGAAAATATTAAGATGAAGAAGCATAATTTTTATGAGCAGTTAAGATATATATACTTGAATTGTAATGCATATCCAACCACCTTGATTCTTCCATTAATTTTTCAAATCTTTTTGATAGTTTGAACTTGATTGCTCTATTCTTCAAGATTTGACTCTTCTTTTTGTTGATGTGTTTGTCTTCATCAAAACTATAACCTAGGACAAGAATAACTCTTCTCACATTCTCCCCCTTTTTGATGATGACAAACCATTCTTTGAAATTTAACTTGTTCATCAATGAGTTGCTTCAATAGGTGACTTTTTGAAATTTTTAGTAGCAACTAGAATCTCCCCCTATCTTGTCTATCTTCCCCTTGCTTTTTCAATTCAAGGCTTTCTCCCTGAAATAATTATGAACAAGAACAAATAAAATACCTATTACTTCTTCCCCCTTTGACATAATAAAAAAGAAGACAAAGTAGAATAAAGTATAAAGCAAGATGATAACATTGGAATGATATATTGTTATAATTGAAAATTAATAGCAAAAAAATTAGACACTTATCTTCTTCATAAGATTTTGATGTCAAATTTTATATCAATATTGATGCTTCTTCAAAACATCATTTTAATCAATGAAACTTTTAGAACTACCATATTATATGGTCTTGTATCTTGAAGGATCAAACTTGATTTGACAATGCTAGCATATGATCTTCAAGTACCTACAAAATAATTATTTACATCTAGTAACCTAATTTTCTTATGTTCTTCATCACTTGAACGATGTGAGACTATCAATGCCTTGCATGCATGATCTTAATCTGAAGATAAACTTATTTCATTGTCCTTCCATGCTACATATGATTTCTTTTCCTTTTTGTGATTCTTGTTTTTTGAATTTTTCTTTCTTTTCAAGTGTAGGACATTTTGTTTTGACATGTCCCTTTTGGTGCTTCTTTGTGAATGATCTCTTTTTTTCCTTTCTATTCTCAAGAACTTTTCAAACTTTTTAATAAGATTATCATCGTCATAAGTGGATTTCTCCTCTGGATTACTATCATAAACTTTGACTCTTGTCTTTAATACAACGTCTCTTTGACTTTCATTTCATGTTTCTCTAATTTTTCAAGTTCTATTTCACATTCTTGAAGTTTTCTGAACAAGGAGGCGGACGTCATGGTAGAAAGACTCTTCTTTTCTGATATGACTGTCACCTTTTGTTGTCAATCCCTAGTTAAAGACCTAAGAACTTTAAGATTTAATTCATCGTCAGTAAAAGTCTCACCGAGAGCATTCAGGTGATTAATTAAGTGAACAAATCTCTTTTCTAGATCAAGGATTGATTTTCTGGACTGCATTCTGAATAATTCATACTCTTGACATAATGTATTCAATCTTGATCATTTTACTTCAGCAGCTCCTTCATGAGTTACTACTAGCG